TGCTGCCGACATCCCAACTTGGACTCTGATCCCCAATATATATCCAACCATCCATCTTCATCCGCTTATCCAGAGTCGGGTCGCGGGGGCAGTAGCCTAAGGCGAGAGGCCCAGACTTCCCTCTCCTCAGCCACTTGGGCCAGCTCCTCCGGGGGAATCCCAAGGCGTTCCCTGGCCAGGTGAGAGACATAGTCCCTCCACCGTGTCCTGGGTCTTTCCTTGGGTCTCCTACCGGTTGGACGTGCCCAGAAAACCTCACCAGGGAGGCGTCTAGGAGGCATCCTGACCAGATGCCCGAGCCACCTCAACTGGTTCTTCTCAACATGGAGGAGCAGCGGGTCTACTCTGAGCCCCTCCCGGATGACCGAGCTTCTCACCCTAAGGGAGAGCCCAGCCACTCTACAGAGAAAACTCATTCCAGCCGCTTGTATTCGCGATCTCGTTCTTTTGGTCACCACCCAAAGCTCATGACCATAGGTGAGGGTAGGAACGTAGATCGACCGGAAAATCGAGAGCTTCGCCTTCTGACTCAGCTCTCTCTTCAACATGACAGACCGGTACAACGCCCGCATCACTGCAGATGCAGCACCAATCCACCTATCGATCTCACGCGCCAGTTTTCCCTCACTCATGAACAAGACCACGAGATACTTAAACTCCTCCACTTGGGGCAGGACCTCATCCCTGACCCGGAGAAGGCATTCTACCCTTTTCTGAATCAAGACCATGGTCTCAGATTTAGAGGAGCTGATTCTCATCCCAGCTGCTTCACACTCGGCTGCGAACCGCTCCAGCGTAAGCTGAAGATCACGTTCTGATGAAGCCAACAGGACCACATCATCTGCAAAAAGCAGAGACCTGATCCTCAGGCCACCAAAACGGATGCCCTCCACACCTTGGCTGTGCCTAGAAATCCTGTCCATAAGGGTTATGAACAGAATCGGTGACAAAGGGCAGCCTTGGCGGAGTCCAACTCTCACTGGGAACGAGCCCGACTTACTGCCGGCAATGCGGACCAAGCTCTGACACCGGTCATACCTAACGGCCTGTATCAGAGGGCCTGGTGCCCCATACTCCTGGAGTACCCCCCACAGGACCCTTTGGGGGACACGGTCAAATGCCTTCTCCAAATCTACAAAACACATGTAGACTGGTTGGGCAAAATCCCACGCACCCTCAGGGTCCCCCTAAGTTTATGGAGCTGGTCCAGTGTTCCACGGCCAGGACAAAAACCACATTGTTCCTCCTGAATCCGAGGTTCAACAATCAAACGAACCCTCCTCCCGAGAACCCCTGAATAGACCTTACCAGGGAGGCTCAGGAATGTGATCCCCATGTAGATGGAACACACTCTGTGGTCCACATTTTTAAATAAGGGGACCACCACCCTGCTCCACCAGTCCAGTGGAACTACCCTCGATGTCAACGCGATATTGCAAAGCCGCATCAGCCAACACATCCTTAAGGAACTCTGGGCGGATCTCATCCACCTGTCAGGCGTGCTGGTGAGTGAAACGGAGGCGAGGATCCACACGCGGGTTAAGAAGGAGGCAGGCAGGAAAATTAAAACAGGGATTTTAATCAGGAACACACAGGACAATGAAACAATGAGCCAACCAGACACAATGGACTAACAGGGTTTAAATACAGGAGGAACTGGGACCTTGGGTGATTGGGAGACGAGAGGCAGGTGGGAGCAATTAACATGGACGCAGGACTGAACAGAATGGGGAGACGGGACAGGGTGTGACAGTACCCCCAGAGCCTTGCCTCTGAGGAGTTTTATGACCACCTCAGTTACTTCAGCCCCAGAGATTGGAGAGCCCAACTCAAAGTCCCCAGACTCTGCTTCCTCAATGGAAGACGTGCCGATGGGATTGAGGAGGTCTTCAAAGTATTCCGTCCACCGATCCACAACGTCCTGAGTAGAGGTCAGCAGCACACCGCCCATACTGTAAACAGTGTTCGTAGTGCACTGCTTTCCCCTCCTGAGGTGCTGGATGGTTGATCAGAATTTCCTCGAAGCCGTACGGAAGTTTTGCTCCATGGTCTCACCAAACTCCTCCCACTCCCAGTTTTTTGCCTCCGCAACCAGTCAAGCCGCATTCCGCTTGGACTGCTGGTACCGATCAGCTGCCTCTGGGGTCCCACAGGCCAAAAGACCCGATAGGACTCTTTCTTCAGCTTGACAGCATCCCTAACTGTAGGTGTACATCAGCGGGTTCGGGGGTTGCTGCCACAACAGTAGCACGGAACATGACCAACTCAGACTCAATGTTCCCCGCTCCCCTCAGGACATGTTTGAAGTTCTGTCGGAGGTGGGAATTGAAGCTCTTTCTGACAGAAGACTCCGCCCAACGTTCCCAGCAGACCCTCACAATAAGTTCTAGGCCAGCCAGTTGTAGCAGTTACTACATATTAATTATGACCAATGAGATGTGATGATTCCATGTAAATATGAAATATCAACCTGATTGATCTTTGAATGTTTAATCAGAATATTCTAGGGTTCTTTGCTTCTTCAGGGACCATAAATACACTTCGTATTAATGTAGACAGAGTCAGTATATAGTTTATGAAATTAATTTAATTATATTTCCTAAACTAATAATTTATACATGACAAGATATGAATGAGAGGTGGTGTGGTGGATGTGAGGTGTTGTGATGGAAGCTAGATGTTGTAGCAACCGTTCTTTGTATCTGACAGAAATTGTGAAATCTGGGTGTAAAATAATTTGTTATAATAAACTAGACAGTTGTTTATTTATAAACCTCATCAGACGCCAGTATGCAGGCTTATGTTACCCTTGTATGAGTTACTCCTGGCGGTCCGGAGGGTTGTGATCAGAGTGGTGAGGTCACCGGACGTCGAAACCACGATCCTCAGAGATTAGTAGCTTCCTTTGAGTTCAGCTTCCTCGGCCATGAGATGCAACCCGGTGTCTGCGGGTTAGATGTCCAAGGTGGATGTCTGAGAGTTGAAGTAGCTCTGAAAGGAGCTGTTTGTCTGTAATCACTCGCAGCGTCGCAGAAAGGTTGGACATAAAGATTACAAATATGGTTAAATGAGAAAAAAACTTTTTTATTAGAAAATGTAAGGAAAAGGAAAGAGGGAAATCAGTGGATGGGGGAAGGCAGAATAAGTAGAAAGAGCAGAACAAGGAGAGGGTGATGAAGGTCCCACCAAACCTGAACAGGTGAGTTTAAAGGAGACCAGTGAGTCCACTGATCTCAGGCTCGGGGAGAGAGGTGAAGAGTCTGGGGGCCACAGCAGCAGATGATCTGTTACCTTTGGTCTTTAGCCTGGTGCTGCACAACCAGTAGGCTTTGGTCACTGGACCTCAGGGACCTGCTGGGGGTGTAGGGACTAAGAAGATCACCAATGTAAGATGGTGCTTGTCCATGTAAGGCCCTATAGACCAGAACCAGGATCTTGAGATGAACCCTGAAGTTGACTGGCAGCCAGTGAAGCTGGAGGAGAAGCGGGGTGATGTGGGTGTGTTTGGAGGACTTGGTCAGAAGCCGAGCACAGGCATTCTGAAATGATTCATTTCAGATCTTAAACTACACCAGATCAGTATGCTGGATGAACAAGTTAATCTATCAGTACACTCATACACATTATAATAAGATTATTATTAATGTTTAACATTTTTGCTTCACATAACATTTGCACTTCACGCTAAGAGTTAGCCTCTCTGAGTATCTGAGTGAAGGAGTGATTTTTAGGTATCTTTGTTAACGCCTCTTAAACGTGTTAAATTCTGATTTGTCTAGAATTTGTAAACAAAATTTAATATAAACAGGAATCACTTCCTGATCCAGCAGCTTTCCAGCTGTATCCTGGTCTGGCCGACCAGTGAACAAGCATTTTGAGACCATCCTATCTTTTGACCTCAAGGTCAAAGCCTCTCTGCAACGCTTGTGAGTGATTTCAGACACAACGGCTCTTTTAAGAGCCACCGAACACCTCAGACACAAAATAAGCATTCCAACTTCCTGCTGTCACCTGAAGGTATCTCAGACTAGACGGGTCGTATTTGAGCTGTCTACAAGTGCCGTTGCCAGAGGTCCACTCAACCGGCTGTGTCCATCCCGACCTCCTGACCCCCTGGATCACCCGGGAAACTCCGCACAAGGGTGCGTAGCCTCAGGCAAAGTCTTCTGTTTTATTTTGGGTAAGTCGGGGTGCAGCAGCTCGTCTGCAGCTCGTTCAGAATGCTGCAGCGAGATTTCTTAGTTGGCAAAAGAAAGTTTGATTATATCACACCTGTTCTGGCTGCTCTTCACTAGCTGCCTGTGGATTTTAGATTTTGTTTTAAACTCCTTTTAATGCTTTTTAAGGCTTTGAACGGACTAGTTCCAGCTCATTTGATGGAGTTGGTGCAGCCTTATGTCCCTGCTCGAATTCTGGGTTAGCCCTAACCCTAACCCTAACCCTAACCCTCCAAGAGCCAGTTGATGCCGGTGGCTCGTAGAGCTCGGCTAAAGACGAGAAGCGATAGGGCATTCTCTGTAGCAGGACCAAACCCCCTCTCTGTTTAAAACAAGGTTGAAGACCCACTTTTATGATTTGGCTTTTAACTCTCTGTTGTTGATCTTTGACATGATTTTACTCTGGTTTTACTTGTTGGTTTTAATTGTCTTTGGTGATTTGATCAGTTTTAATTTGTTACTGTGCAGCACTTTGGTGGCACGCCTCATGCCTGTAAGGGGCTCTATAAATAAAGATGATGATGATGATGATAGAGATGGTTGTGTGTGACAATCTAAGAAGACCAGCAGTTTCTGAAATATTCAGAACAACCATGCCATTTTCAGTTACTTAAATTGTCTTTACTCCCCATTCACACACTGGTCTGTGGTGAAATTCGTTCTCCACATTTGACCCATTTCCTGGGGGAGCAGTGAGCTGGTGTAACCCGACTTTGGATCTGAACCCACAGGGACAGCAGTAGCTCAGTAGAGCGGGCTGTCCAGTCATCGGAAGGTTGCAGGTTCAGTTTCGGCTCCCGCCAGAGAATTCTGCTGTTAAGTCCTTGGGCAAGACACTTAACCAACCTGCCTGTTGGTGGTGGTTGGAGGGACCGGTGCTGCCTGTGTTCAGCGGTCTGGCTTCTGTCGGTGCGCCCCAGTGCAGCTGTGGCTACAGTGTAGCTCATCATCACCAGTGTGTGAATGGGTGAAAGACTGATTGTGTTGTGAAGCGCCTTGGGGGGCTGTAGAGCCCTAAGAAGGCACTGTACAACTACAGAGCATTGAGCACATACCACCATCTCTAAATCTCATGGCAGAGAATCATACCACTAGGCCACTGAGCTCGTTAAGAATAGATTGTATCGTGTGTGTTTGTGTGTGTTTGTGTGTGTGTGTGTGTGTGTGTGTGTGTGTGTGTGTGTGTGTGTGTGTGTGTGTGTGTGTGTGTGTGTGTGTGTGTGTGTGTGTGTGTGTGTGTGTGTGTGTGTGTGTGTGTGTGTGTGTGCTTAGACTCACAGCAGGAAGCATATTCATTACATCTTAAACCCAGTTGTCACCGACTTTGTTTAATGAACATCAGCCTTCAGTCTCCATAGCAACCTGCTGTTGTAAATGTGACATTTAGGTTAGACTGCAATTCCCCAGTTGTGTGTTTCCACCTGCTCATTTCCCCTCTCAATAAACAGTAACATTAACTCCGGGGAAGCTCAACAGGAAGGGGGACGATGACACATCTGGCTGTAAGAATGGTTGAAAAGGGACGAGCTGCTGCGTCTCTCTCATCTTTGTGCTTCACCCTCCTGGACAAAACTGACCTTTTAGCTTGTTGTGCTGGTGTGATCTGATCGTCTCTTTTGGAAGTGTTATGATTGTTTTGAGGAGAATGGAAATAGGCAGTAAAGGTGGGACACACTCCTCAAGGTTTTCAGAAACATCCAGAGTAAATGTGATCTTCTTTAAAAATGAATGTTTTTGAATCAGAGATTTGATTCAGTTCTTCCTGAAGGCTGGCTGTTAATGCTGCCATGGATGCAGCACTGCTTTTTATGTGGTCCACACGAAGAACCATAAAAACTACAGTTTAAAGAAAAAAAATGAAATATTAGCATCTAAGCGGGCTAGATCTGTGTACGCTGGTGAATGATCCACCTCACCACTGAAATCGGTGACATTTGAGCCGTCTTTAGGAGAGCCTAAATCTTTTCTCCTGCATCTGCAACGTCTTCTTCTGCAGCACATCCACGGTAAGAACTCCTTTACTTCTTCAGCCTCAGGAGGACGAACACACAAAGTAAAGCTGTTGAAGATTAAGGCGTCCTGTGGGCTCTAAATGTTTATGCAGAACATTTGTTGTGCGATGACACAAGAAGCTCATCCTGAAGGAGATATCCTGTTGTCATGCATAAAATAAACAGAATGGATGTTTCGGTTTGTGCTGCATCGTGCTGCTATGTAGCTGAAGCTATGTAGCCGAAGCTGTGTAGCCGAAGCTGTGTAGCCGAAGCTATGTAGCCGAAGCTATGTAGCCGAAGCTGTGTAGCCGAAGCTGTGTAGCCGAAGCTATGTAGCTGAAGCTATGTAGCCGAAGCTGTGTAGCCGAAGCTGTGTAGCCGAAGCTATGTAGCCGAAGCTGTGTAGCCGAAGCTGTGTAGCCGAAGCTGTGTAGCCGAAGCTATGTAGCTGAAGCTGTGTAGCCGAAGCTATGTAGCTGACGTTATGTAGCTGAAGCTGTGTAGCCGAAGCTATGTAGCTGAAGCTGTGTAGCCGAAGCTATGTAGCTGAAGCTGTGTAGCCGAAGCTATGTAGCTGATGCTGTGTAACTGAAGCTGTGTAGCTGACGGTATGTAGCTGAAGCCGTGTAGCTGACGGTATGTAGCTGACGCTATGTAGCTGAAGCTGTGTAGCTGAAGCTGTGTAGCTGACGCTGTGTAGCTTAAGTTGTGTAGCTGATGCTGTGTAGCTGACGGTATGTAGCTGACCCTACGTAGCTGACGCTGTGTAGCTGAAGCTGTGTAGCTGACGCTATGTAGCTAATGCTATGTAGCCGAAGCTATGTAGCTGAAGCTGTGTAGCCGAAGCTATGTAGCTGAAGCTGTGTAGCTGAAGCTATGTAGCTGACGTTATGTAGCTGAAGCTGTGTAGCCGAAGCTATGTAGCTGAAGCTGTGTAGCCGAAGCTATGTAGCTGAAGCTGTGTAGCCGAAGCTATGTAGCTGAAGCTGTGTAGCCGAAGCTGTGTAGCTGACGCTGTGTAGCTGAAGCCGTGTAGCTGACGCCGTGTAGCTGAAGCCGTGTAGCTGAGGCCGTGTAGCTGAAGCTGTGTAGCTGAAGCCGTGTAGCTGACGCCGTGTAGCTGAAGCCGTGTAGCTGACGGTATGTAGCTGAAGCCATGTAGCTGACGGTATGTAGCTGACGCTATGTAGCTGAAGCTGTGTAGCTGAAGCTGTGTAGCTGACGCTGTGTAGCTGAAGTTGTGTAGCTGACAGTATGTAGCTGACCCTACGTAGCTGACCCACGTAGCTGACGCTGTGTAGCTGAAGCTGTGTAGCTGACGCTATGTAGCTAACGCTGTGTAGCCGAAGCTATGTAGCTGAAGCTGTGTAGCCGAAGCTGTGTAGCCGAAGCTATGTAGCTGAAGCTATGTAGCTGACGTTATGTAGCTGAAGCTGTGTAGCCGAAGCTATGTTGCTGAAGCTGTGTAGCCGAAGCTATGTAGCTGAAGCTGTGTAGCCGAAGCTATGTAGCTGAAGCTGTGTAACTGACGCCGTGTAGCTGAAGCCGTGTAGCTGACGCTGTGTAGCTGAAGCCGTGTAGCTGAGGGTATTTAGCTGAAGCCGTGTAGCTGAGGGTATGTAGCTGAAGCCGTGTAGCTGACGCTATGTAGCTGAAGCCATGTAGCTGAAGCTGTGTAGCTGACACTGTGTAGCTGAAGTTGTGTAGCTGATGCTGTGTAGCTGACGGTATGTAGCTGACCCTACGTAGCTGACGCTGTGTAGCTGAAGCTGTGTAGCTGAAGCTATGTAGCTGACGCTATGTAGCTGACGCTATGTAGCCGAAGCTATGTAGCTGAAGCTGTGTAGCCGAAGCTATGTAGCTGAAGCTGTGTAGCCGAAGCTATGTAGCTGAAGCTGTGTAGCTGAAGCTACGTAGCTGACGTTATGTAGCTGAAGCTGTGTAGCCGAAGCTATGTAGCTGAAGCTGTGTAGCCGAAGCTATGTAGCTGATGCTGTGTAGCCGAAGCTATGTAGCTGATGCTGTGTAGCTGAAGCTGTGTAACTGACGCCGTGTAGCTGAAGCCGTGTAGCTGACGGTATGTAGCTGAAGCCGTGTAGCTGACGCTATGTAGCTGAAGCCGTGTAGCTGAAGCTGTGTAGCTGACGCTGTGTAGCTGAAGTTGTGTAGCTGATGCTGTGTAGCTGACGGTATGTAGCTGACCCTACGTAGCTGACGCTGTGTAGCTGAAGCTGTGTAGCTGACGGTATGTAGCTGACGCTATGTAGCTGACCCTATGTAGCTGACGCTGTATAGCTGAAGCTGTGTAGCTGAAGCTGTGTAGCTGACGCTGTGTAGCTGACGGTATGTAGCTGACCCTATGTAGCTGACACTGTGTAGCTGACACTGTGTAGCTGACGGTATGTAGCTGAAGCTATGTAGACATTGAGGAAGTGCGTTGGCTTGTCTGGCTTGTCACAGTAAACATGAGCGAAAGTAAAGGTTTCATTAAGCTGTACTGATTCATGATCCTCATATCCCGCCTGTCATGTTCAGCACCATTTAGCTCAACTGAGCTCTGCCTGATTACCTCATGGTTCACACCTGCTCGTTTCCTAATCAAACCTGATCTCTGCTTCTCTGCCAGGTTGTCTGCAGGTCCTTGTTCTGATCTACCCTACCTTGTACCTGGATGGTCTCTGCCTAGCCCTTACTGGATTCGACTGCTCCTCTGACCTCTGACCCTGCTCTGAACCACGGCCTCCAATTATTGTCTGCTCCTCCTGTTAAGTACTGCTGTCTCTGTCTCTGCTTCTACCCTGCTTATGGACTGAGTTTTCTTCACTGTGTGTGTGTGTGTGTGTGTGTGTGTGTGTGTGTGTGTGTGTGTGTGTGTGTGTGTGTGTGTGTGTGTGTGTGTGTGTGTGTGTGTGTGTGTGTGTGTGTGGTATCCACACACCAGATGCATCCTGTGTCAGTTTTAATTAAACAGCGAGTCATAATAAACCCTCTGAGGCGACATTTTCCTCTCTCTGTTTTTCCAACACAGTTTCCGGTAAATGATCGTTAAACGCAGAGTAATGAGCTTGTTTAACTTACTTCTAATTGAATCCTGCTTAAGACGCACATCTCTGATGCGTTCTCCAAAAACATCTGACATTAGCTCTGATTAACCTTTGGAAAAATAAAACTCACAGTGAAATAAAGATGTTTATGAAGGCTCCCAACGATTAATCGGTTTCTGAGCCCGTAAAAGGTATTTAAAGCTTCATTAAAGCAGAATGGATCATTAAAAGCCTGAGTGATGTGTGTGTGTGTGTGTGTGTGTGTGTGTGTGTGTGTGTGTGTGTGTGTGTGTGTGTGTGTGTGTGTGTGTGTGTGTGTGTGTGTGTGTGTGTGTGTGTGCGTGCGTGTGTGTGTGTGTGTGCATGCGTGCGTGTGTGTGTGTGTGGAGCTGCACATTAATGCGGCTAATTGGCTCATTAAACAAAAGTATTTTACGGTACCTTTTTAATGTGGGGGGACATTTTTAACTTCCACCTTAATGAAGTGTTCAGGGTGGTAATTACACACGTTGGTGACTCCAGATCCGGTTTATTAAAATCCAGCCCGTCTTTTTTCGGACCCTTTTGTGTTTGTTGATCAAACAGGCAAGATAAAGACAACGGTTTTAATTGGTCCGGTACAAAGGCTGCAGTGGTAGCAGCAGGTAGATTGAGCCTCAGCTGCACTCTGATGCAAGACGCCATCCATGAATGCATTTGTCAATGCCCACCTATTGATCTGTGCTTTTAATGGGAATCTCTCTAGAGACCCATTAACTCCACTGTGGTTTCAGGTCAACATCTCCACACCTTCATGCAGTTCTGAGTAATTTTATTTTGTGTGTTCCAGATTTCATTCATGAATAAGAACGACCTTTTCCAGGACAAGATGTTACATCATGGCCGACACCTGCGGTTATACCTGTCACCATTTAAAGGTACGACTGATGTCAGAGGGTTTGTTCTGGTCTGTAAATGGGATTTCTTCCTGCTTCTGTGCACATTCAAAGAAAAAAACACTTTGTACAAAATAACAAAGTTTGGTCCCTCTCTGAAGCATATTAGGGGAAGTGGGCAGTTTTGGCGTGCTTTTAGCACCACCTAGTGTCCGTCTGTACAACCGAAAGCAAAACCTATCCCAACACGTTCATTCTAGCAGCTGCAACATCTCAGCCTTCATTAGTGTCTACAGGAGAGTCAAGTAGCTGGTTACTTAAATAAAATGTCAGTAGAAAATAAAGGTATTTAATAAAATTTTGAGCCTTTAAACGTCTTTGTTATGTTTTTACTGAGTTTGTTTTCTGATTTAGTTTTCTTTAGCTCTGCATTTTACTCAGTGTGATGAGGACTTGTTTTTACCTTTGCCGACATGTTTCGACATCACTGCCGTCTTCGTCAGGGTAACCACCGGATGTCAGTGGTGTCACTTCCTTTGTGATCCGTGTTATCCCAGTTTATGATCCGTGTTATTCCAGTCCATCATGTGATTTCTCTTGTAGAGTGGTCAGGACATATCACACAATGAATGAACGCCGATGAAACATGGCCTGGTTGTTTAAGAGTTTTCTAACTGACTCAGAAAGATGTGGTGTCTGGTGTATTAAACACATCGGGATGTTAGTTGGATGTAATTTAAAAAGTTATCATATTAACTCCAACCACTCTGACACCATTGTTTACTCTACACACCCTGGATCATGGAAACTCCGGAGATCCGGTCTGCAGGTGAAGCCGTCTCTCAGAGCGAGTGAGTGGACTTCTGATGTATCTGAAGATCGTAGACACCCTCAGCGTACGCACGACTGGTCAGAAGATAATTCCCAGGTGGCTTCTGGTGGACGGTTTCATGTCTGATGAGTGGGTGGTGGACTGAGCAAATAATAACTGTTGATTCAAAAGGACAGTTCATGTGCTGCTGAAGTTATTCCACTGAATAATCTGGTTTAATCCCCATAGGATGGTCATTTGGCATGAGCTGAGAGCTCTGGTGGAACTGGGAAAGTAGGAAGTGATTCACTCTTAATGAAATGGTTGTTTATAAACATTGACCAACCAGATCTGAGAAATGTGTTGTGGTGTTTACCACGACCCTCAGCCCCTCCCCTTTCTGTGACGCTTATAAAGCTTTTTTCCCTTCATATCTGGAGTAACTCTGTTAGACATTCATTTGTTATTATACTGATATTATTATGTGAATGTAGCTGATAATTAATTATCATTAAATCATCAAGCAGACTCATTTAGTGTCTTTAAGATGGGAACTAAGTTATGAAATAATAAACATTTGTGTTTATCAATTAATTAATAATAAAACCAGGTTAGATAGAACATTCATTGTAGGTAATTTTAATTATAACCAGCTTGTGAAGAACCATTAATGAGGCTAAATAAGATAAATTTTATTACAAAGGGGAAAGTCTCGTCTTCTGCGTGAGACCTTGGAGTTGCAGCAGGATGTCTGTAGCGGCAGAAGAGAACTCAGACGTTGGAATAGTTTTGACCATCTTCTGAAGAGACGAGGTTAGAGTCAGTGTGTTTTCTGCTTTGGAGTCCAGACGGGTAAGATGTGGAACACTGATGAAGAACACAATACTCCAGCTGGACACTTCAGTGTGATGACCTCTGACCTTACAGTGGACTAAAACTTTGTCAGCCTTTCACAACGTTACAATCCCCCCCTTTTCAAGGACTTGAGACCACGAATATAAGACTTCAACATCCTTGAACCAGTTAGAACGGTCACAAGGAAGGTGAAACACCTCCTGACAGCAGATCGTAGAGACCTTGCACGGAGAATGTGGTGTTACATGCAAAGGAACCAAACATGGACGTAATTTTGCGGGGGGACAGGTGTGACATGTCCCCCCCACACACACTTTTTCCAAAGTCAAGTTTTGACCCCTCCACTTTTTACCATCTAAAAACAAAATTACGCTATATTAAATTGACACTGGTTGAGCTGTAGGACCAAGCAGAAAACAACCGTTTGTGTTGAAGCCTGTTTCCCATCAGAACATATTGTAAAGAAACCCCCCCCCCCCTCCCGTGTCCCCCCATTTCTAAAGTGAAAATTACATCCATGGAACCAAAGCTGCAGATGGAACAGTGAGGTTGTTCAAAACACCCCACATAGGAGAGAGCAACAGCAGACCTACCAATCAGCCACTGTAATCCAAACATGGCGATATGCATGAACCCCAGAGAATAATCCAGGCAGTAGACAATTGTAGATGGCATCAGGTCTCAGTTCATCTGGAGGCTTATGACACAGTTAGCAGCACACAAGCAGGAGACTCGTACGATGACGTCAGATGGAAAAAACTAAAAGGGACTGTTTGTGGATTAACTGAATGGTGTGACTAAAGAAAGTGTAATCACTGATGTGTAAATGAAATAAAATGTAAAACGAAGATGTCTAAAATGTTGTGAAATGAGTGATTAAATGGAAACTTTAATAAAAGTTAAAGTGAGTGTAAAACGAGCTGATCAGTGTTGGTATTGAACACTGAGTGTGTTCTAGCAAAGTAAAACTAAATGATTACATTCATGTAAAAATGTACAATAATAACGTTTTATTAGACATTTGATTATAACAATTATAAAAAGTGTAAGATTGTAAAATCTTTGAATGAATCTTAACAGTTTTAGCTGCTCTTTGCTGACATAAAACTTTAGGTTACTGTCGTAACCCCGGTTCTCTGAGTAACATGAGTGAGATGTCTCACTATGGGATACGCCCCTCCGCGGATTCCTCAGAAGCACTTATCTCAATACGCCAATCCTGATTGGCCAGTGACCGTGACGTACGCGTCCCCCTGCTACTATAAGTAGCAAGCGTCCCAACGCACGCACTATTCAAGATAAACACCTCTTCTCGCTTCGCCCAGCAAGAAGGGTTGTCTGGTGAGACATCTCACTCATGTTACTCAGAGAACCGGGGTTACGACAGTAACCTAAAGTTCTCTTTCTTAACATTCGTTTCGATGTCTCACTATGGGATATGGAGACTCCCGCATTGCCAGACAGCTTATCCAGCGATCACCAACCTACAGGGATACGTCTTGGCCCGCCAAAGACCCCACACTCAGAATCGTGTGAGTCATTGCAGGGACCGAAACATCAAGCTTATAGAAGCGTGCAAATGCAAGTGGAGAAGCCCAACTTGCTGCAGCACAAATCTCCTGGATTGACAGCCCCCGAAAAAGGGCCCAAGAAGCAGACAGGCCCCTAGTAGAATGGGCCCTGAGCCCAACAGGAGCCTGAATGCCCTGACAGGAGTAAGCCATAGAAATAGCCTCCACAATCCAGTGGGAAAGCCTCTGCTTTGTGACGGGTTTCCCCTTACGAGGCCCACCCCATGACACAAAAAGCTGGTCCCCCCTGCGAAGGTTCTCCGTCCGATTCACATACTCCTTGAGCGCGCGAATCGGACACAGCTTGTGCCACCGCTCCTCCTCAGGAGAGGAGAAGGGTGGTGGGTAGAAAGCTGTGAGGATAATAGGAGAAAAGGAGCCCACCACCTTAGGCACAAAGGCAGGGTTGGGCTTCAGGGACACCTTCATGTCACCGGGTGCAAACTGGGTGCAGGATGGGTGCACAGAGAGAGCCTGTAAGTCACTAACTCGCTTTGCAGATACCAAAGCCAGGAGTAGCACCACCTTAAGAGACAGGATCTTAAGGTCCAGGCCGTCCATAGGTTCAAATGGAGGCCCGGAGAGGGCCGACAGCACCAAGGACAGATCCCATGAGGGCACCAGGGGTCGAGACACAGGGAGAAGCCTGCGCGCGCCCCTCATGAAGCTACACACCAGGGGGTGTTGACCTGCCAGCTTCTTCCCAAAACCCAAGTGTCGGGAGGAAATGGCTGCTAGGTACACTTTAATGGTGGAGAAAGCCTTCTTCCCATCCAACAAGTCTTGCAGGAAAGACAGAATGACGTTCACCGGGCATTGGAAGGGTGAGACCTCCCTGCCCTGACACCAGGCTTCAAACACCCTCCATTTACAGTCATATAGGGACCTAGTGGAGGGGGCCCTAGCATTCTGAATGGTTCGAATGACCGCCTGGGGCAGCTCTGCTGACACTAGCCCGCACCCCTCAGGGGCCAGGCCCACAGGGCCAGCCGTTCTGGATGAAGGTGGAAGATCGAGCCTCCCGCTTGGGACACCAGGTCCCTGCGAAGCGGAAGTTTCCAAGGTTGGCCCTCCAGGAGCTGGAAAATGTCCGCCACCCAATGCATAGCTGGCCAGTATGGGGCCACCAGAATGAGAGTGTGGAGCTGGGTTCGTACCCTCAGCAAGGTGGGTGGTATCAGGGCCACTGGGGGAAAAGCGTAAAGCAGTCCCCGTGGCCAGTCGTGCGCCAGCGCGTCCACGCCGAGTGGAGCGTCTCGGTCGCGCAGAGGACAGTGAGCATTCTCCTTGGAGGCAAAAAGATCCACTACGGCTGTGCCGAACCGGATCCAAATCTGTTCCAACACTGCTAGATGCAGGCTCCAATCCCCGTACAGGGGTGTCCCTCTGGACAACAGATACGCCCCCCGATTCAGAACACCCGGGACATGGGTGGCTCTGATTGAGAGGAGATGCCTGCTGCAGCATAGGATCAGTCTGCGTGCCAGCGTGTGTAACCGCACGGAGCGCAGCCCCCCCTGGTGGTTTATATAAGCCACAGTCAAGGTGTTGTCTGTTCTCACTAGGACATGATGGCCGGAGAGAAAAGGCAGGAAGCGCCTCAGGGCTAGAAAGACCGTGAGGAGTTCCAGATAATTTATGTGTGTCCCCCAGAGCTCTCTGCTCCACACACCCCTGACAGAGCGACCCTCCAGGAGCCCCCCCCCCCCAACCTGACAGGCTCGCATCTGTCGTGACCACTTTCCTCACGAGAACCAACCCCAAAGGCACCCCCTGTGCCAAGAGGGAAGGGTGACGCCAACAGCGGAGCGCCGTGACGCACGCTGCAGAGACCGTCACCCTGCGCGCTCTGTGGCGTACTGGAGAGAGACCCAGAGAAGCCACCCAGCGTTGAGAATCTCTCATGTGTAGACGGCCGAGTGGTACCACTGAAATAGCCGACGCCATGAGACCCAAAAGCCTGAGGCATAACGCAAACCGCACCGAACTGTGTAGGCGGAAGCGCGCCAGGCAGAACGAGAGCGCGTTCACGCGCGGTGCCGAGAGACGGGCCGTGAACGCACCTGAGTCCAGATTCAGACCTAGAAAGGTTATTTTCTGGGAGGGGAGGAAAGCGCTTTTCTGCCAGTTTATTCTGAAACCCAGACCACACAAGGGAGGGATCACAACCAGCGTGTTTGACGCTGTCTCCTCTCTGGACCGTGCCAGCAGGAGCCAGTCGTCTAAATACGTGGCCAGCCGAATGCCCCTCCCTCTCAGAGGGGCGATCGCCGCCTCCGTACACCTGACAAACACCCTCGGGCTCAGCGAGAGGCCGAATGGGAGCGCGGTGTATTCGTAACACACTCCCTGAAAGGCAAACCTCAGAAATGTCCTGTGTGGAGGGTACACGGGAACATGAAAGTATGCGTCCCTCAGGTCGATTGAGGTGAGCCAGTTGCTCTGGTGAATCAGACGCAAAAGGGATGAGAGCGTGAGCATTTTGAATCTGTACTTTCTGAGGCATCGGTTCAGGGCCCTCAGATCCAGGATCGGGCGAATCCCGGTCCCTCCCCGTTTCGGGACCAGGAAGTACCTGGAGTCGAAACCGCTCTGAGACCGATCGGGAGGCACAATGCATATCGCTCCCTTCTCCAGCAGGGAGGAGATTTCTCCCTGAAGGATGTGAGCTGACGACCCCTGGGCGTGGGAGAACACTACGCCGGAGAATCGAGGAGGAACAGAAGCGAATTGGAGCCTGTAACCCCTCGAAATTGTTCTCAGCACCCAACGTGAAGCAGAAACCGCTGTCCATTCCTCCCTGTGAGTGGAGAGCGGTGACACAGCCGTGACACACGGAGCACCAGCTCCCTCCAGAGGTTGTGGGGCAGCGGTGCTCGTGGCAGCCACTGCGCATGCGCGGGGGCTTTGACGGCCCAGGCTTACGGGGACGACCCGTGGCGCCGCCCCCGCCTGGAACCGCTCATGGGTGACATTTATATTGATTTTTGCTGCGCCCTTGACATCTTGTCTGGATGCGACAGCGAACCTTTTAATGCTCCTTGAGCGTGACATGTTTGTGAAAAACAATGTGAGTGCTTGTGACGTGTGCTTTGAGCCGGCACCGCCGGCTGCACGTCCTGGCCCCACCCTGGACCGCTCGGGAACTCTGCCGGAGGGGTTCCGTGAGGGGGGGGAGAAAGCACCATGGCAACATCCAACAGGAGGAGCTGGCGAACGGGGAACCGCCAGCTGCAGCGTCGGGAGGGAAGAACTCCGACAGGCTGCCCACTTCTTCCTCCTCACCTGCTGACCGCCGTGTCTGGTGGATTGTCCCGGTGGCGGAGCAGCTTGGTTGCCGGATCCCTGAGGCCAAACTGGTCGAGGCTCTGAGCCCGAAGGAGCTGGTTGGACAGCTTGAGGCTTCGGGCGCTTTGGGATCCGGAACTGAGGCTGGGCTCGGGCAGCTGCCTGAGGCAGGTTCGGCCGAGCCGGCAGCGCCTGTGAGGGTTTACGGGGAAGGCAGAGATGAAGGGCTTCATCCTCTTTCTTTTTAGCCGCACACCGTTGCTGCATTGATGCCAGGGCAGAGCCGAAAATGCCTTCAGGCACGATTGGCATGTCCAAAATGTCCTCCTTCTCTCTCTCAGAGAGGTTGGTGAGGTTCAGCCATCGTGCACGTTCTTGAAGCACCATCATGCCCATAGCTTTAGCCGTAGCATGGACCGCGCAGCGCTGCACACGCAGGCAGATGTCGGTCAGTACGGTGATTTCCTCCCGCACCTCCGGGTCCGGCTTCGTATTCATGTCCTCACAGAGCTCGGCTTGGTACGCCGAGAGCATGGAGGAGACATTCAAAGCTCGGACCGAGATGGCGGCAGCCTTGTACGCCCTCTCGTTCAGCGCCGACTGGAAGCGGTCCGCCTTCGCAGGGAGAGCGGGAGGCCTGGAGGAAGTCGCCGAGAGCCGTGGGTGCAGGTGGGCTGCAACCAGCGGTTCCATCGGCGGCATGCGAAGCATGCCAGCCGTCTCCATCCCTTCGAAGTCCAGCGAGGAGGCTCCTTGGACAGGAGACCTGGAGCTGAACGGGTGTTTGTCCCAGGAGGACCCCACTTCTTGGAGTAGCTCCGGGAAGGCGGGGAGGAGGGGCTTTGCCACCCTCGTGGCCTGAGGCAGCTTCTTTCCCTTGTAGCGGGATCTGACAGCCTCAGTGACCACGGTGGGCCAAGGGATGTTGAGCCTGGTCGTAGCGCGTCGGCAGACTGACTGCATGTCCAGGTGGGCGGCCGGAGAAACCGCTCCATCCCTGGGAGAGGACGGAAAGCTAGGCATGGAGGCCTGAGCGATGGGGAGAAAGACGTCGTCCTCCTCGTCCTCCTCTGAAATGAGGAGTTCCGAGGTGTCCTCGTCGTCTCCGTAGTCCAACTCCAACACATCCTCGGCGGGGAGGCTCGGACCGGCCAGTTTGAGCTGTGAGCCCCAGCTGAGTTCGGCACACGGTTCCGGCTCCGGGAGGACATGTTCGCTGGCGTCCCCAGGCGGTGGCCCAGGGGCCGGCAGGCAAGGGTCCTTCCCCGACAGGCTAGCTTGGCGCGCTAGCCGCCGGCGAAGGCTCTTCAGGGTGAAGCAAGCGCAGCTCTCACATGACCCGGGGACTTCCAATGCCAGCTGGGCGTGTTCCAGCCCGAGGCAGCTCGAGCAGACCCTGTGCGGGTCTTTGCTTGAGATTTCGTTCCCACAGGTACAGAGGCGAGCTCCTGCACCGTCGACTCCTCTGGTGGGAGGAGCGGCTTCCATGTTGGCTAACTGGTGTGTTAGCATAGAACGAACAGATGCACTGGAGTGTGAAGCTGCTCGTTATGCCCCGAGCCTATGGTGAAGGTCAGGACAGAAGGACGGTAAGTTAACGTTCGGCGACGGAGAGAATATTAGAAGGCTCCGTCTGTGAACAGTTGAGCTAACTTACCTCAGAGATAAGCGACCACCGAAGCGAGAAGAGGTGATTGAATAGTGCGTGCGTTGGGACGCTTGCTACTTATAGTAGCAGGGGGACGCGTACGTCACGGTCACTGGCCAATCAGGATTGGCGTATTGAGATAAGTGCTTCTGAGGAATCCGCGGAGGGGCGTATCCCATAGTGAGACATCGAAACGAATGTTAAGAAAGAGAACATGCGTCACATCATCAATGCCAGCCAAGTCTGCAAACACAACATGGACTAGGGCATGGTCACATGTAGACACGCACCACTCACTCCAACTCTTGAGCTTGTATAACTCAAGACAGAGGACCTGAAAGGAGAGGAGAAAAATGAATGAATCACTCCACCCTAGCAGGTGCTCGTTGGGCCCCGGGCGCCAGAGCGAGGTCCAGTCGGTTCCCCAAATTACGGAGCGAGGTCCCCACGGGGATCAACGGTGCGTGTGCCAGTCCGAGCGTCAGACAGCGTAGGAACGCATAATTAGGAAGAAAACAGACACGATGAAAGTTGAGTTTAGAATCAGCTGATCGCGTCTGCAACCCGAACCGTAGTTGGACCTTCGAACGGAACACATTCAGTAGCGGGAACGGAGCGAAGGAGATGTTACAGAAAGGAGAAAGCTCTACACTACCAAGAAAATCTTTTAAAACATTCAAAAGTTAAAGACAACAGGTCCAACAAACGCACACCGTTGACATCCTAAGGAAGACTAACCTGTATATTTTTACTTTAACTGTTAAACTGAGAATCAGCCACAGTTGTGGTCATGTTTTAGGAGCCATATCATGGAAAATGCACTCTTTGGAACATTTTACCCATCGACATAAATACTGGACAATTCATTTCCATAGGCTCCGATAACACGTTTTGTGCCAAAATGGGAGGTGGCCACCACCGCCATTTTGACCATGTCACAGGTTCCGTCAAGCCCAGACAATTCCACAAAAGGGAAGAGAGGTGGAGCTGAGGGTGGGGTTGTAAGGCTGGGATAAACTGACGACACCCGGTCGAACTAGCTACAAGCTAACCCAAAGCTAACGCAGAGGTGGGAGCTAAGCTAACGGAGGTAGCAACCTAGCTACAACCGGAGTTAACTGTGCACAACACCAGAGCTTCTGAGTCAGAGATACGCTGGGCTGACCGCTGGGTAAAACCGGGTGGAACACAGAGGTCTCCCGAAAGCTGCTGAAAGCCGGCAGCCCGCACAGCAGTCAGGAGCCGCGATCAGACAGAGATGCGCCGAGCTGCGGGGAGAGGGGAGAACCGGTGGAAAACAGAGATCTCCCGAGAGCTCCACAAGCCGATAGTCGAACCCAGCTCTCTCTCTCTCTCTCTCTCTCTCTCTCTCTCTCTCTCTCTCTCTCTCTCTCTCTCTCTCTCTCTCTCTCTCTCTCTCTCTCTCACACACACACACACACACACACACACACACACACACACACACACACACACACACACACACACACACACACACAGAGAGTTGCATGTTCAGCATTGCTTCCAGCCAGCCACACCTGGCCCTGGAGCCAGAAGTTGTAGGACAACCTATTTTATTTTATTATTTTTTCAGGAGTTAAACTGAACTTAAAGTTTCATTAGTCGTCACACACTGGTGCACTGCTGGTGAATCCATGCTGCTACACTGGTGCACTACTGGTGAAGGTTTTATTCAGCTGCAGGCCAACTCTAGCTTTTAAATGAGCCCTGACAGGAGAGTAATCCCACCATTATTTTACATTTTAGTGTTTTTAAAAGCTTCTGCTTAGAGATCCCAAACCCAGATGTGCCAAGCTTCATTGCTGCCCTTTGTGTGCGTCCTACAGGTGACGTGGACTCAGCCGCCTGCTTCATCGCTACCACCTTCGTCTTGCTCAACAGAACACCCAACAAAATCATCTATTGCCACTTCACCACAGCAACGGACATGTCCAACGTCCATGTGTTCCAGGTGGTTATGGACACAATAACTAGAGACCTGGAAGCTGTAAATAAGTGGAAAGGTCCCAAAAACGGCCCGTTAGTGCAGATTCATGATTGCTTTACACCTCAGAAAGTACTTAGCATCATTCATTTGTATAAAGACTAAGTTTTACCACTAAGCCTGTTTACAACGGGCCTTGTTAGTGTTCTTGTGGCCAGACCAGAGAGATGGTGAAGATTGGTTGACGTCCTCCGAGCTGGACTCACTCATGCACACCATTGTGCGTTTTTTGCTCATCCATCTCCGTGTCCCTGCCATGCGTCACATCCGCGTAATGAGGCGTTTATCGCTGCCTTGGACTCGCTGGAGATCACTAAAGCAGGCATGTTAATCTGTGATGATGATGCTGAGGAACTCGTGTCTCAGAGGAGTCTGGTTAATGTTGATGAAAGGGTTTATGTGAGGGTTCTTGTTCCAGAGTCAGACATGAACGCCTCCTTCCTGTGAATCCCAAGCAGCAGCTCAGACTCATGGAGAGGCCTGAGGGTGCCCGAGGGCCCCATGATGAACAAATGTCTCCCTTTTATTATGGAGATGAAGGATATGATTCACTCCACTTTGAGACCTTGTTGGATATTTGTGCACGCGCAGCACTTCGGCTGTTATACAGAAGTGTGCATGAACCCAAAACACTAATAAAAGTGAAAAGATGTCAACATGTTGCTCTTTTTTCCCCTCTGCGCTCCAGGAATAATAATCAGATCCGTTCTCAGACAAAGGAAAACAACACAACTGGTATTTGTGTTTATTTGTTTAAATAAATAAATAAATACAGGTCATTTCCAGGGAACGCAGTTTGAGGACACAAATTAACAGAGTTTAACTTTCTTGCATTAATAATATATGACAAGTTTCTGTCTTTAATATCCGGAATCCGCAGCCGTCCATCTGTGGAAAACCCGTTTTTTCCCCCGGTGCCAACTACGTCCTCCCTAACCCCACATCCCTCCTCTGTTTGGGGAATTCTCTTTTTCCCGGTAAACTTCTATCCGCGCGCTGCCTGAGCAGGCTCACGCGGACAGGCAGTCCAGGGAGTCCAGGGTGAGGAAGACGTCCGCCTTACACTGGAAGGTGCCCGAACCGTCCTGCAGCAGCTCGCAGCTCTTCAGGTTTGGAGAGATGTCCTTCAGACAGATGTCCTGCAGGAGAGCAGACCAGAGAAGACAGGAAAACAGATTTAAACTTTTGCCTTTGGAATTTGTTTTCTCCACAAGCATAACGCATTCCTGCCAGCAGCGACCATTTCTAAGTCTAAATGCGTTTGGCGCTTTTACGCAGAGCCCTTCCAGTTCTCCACACCTGCAGCTAAAGGAAAACTTCCCCTCATTTGTACTGATTCTGGCCAAATTTCCTCCCGCTCCGTTTCTGCATCAAAGCCACGTTTCCCTGGTTTCCAACAACTTACCATGTTTTTGAGGATGGAGACTTGCCTGTTAGTCTCTGACATCACGTTACCTGCAACCTCGCCGCTGTCCGCCACCGCCTCCTCGGTCTCGGCTCTCCGCACGTACGGTGACCTCCTGATACCGGACAGCAGACCGGAGGCGCGACCCACCGAGTAGTAACTGGGTCCAGTCGACTGCTTGTACCAGGCTTCCGCTGACTGGCAGGAGATGAGCAGAGACACTCCGACGCATACCACGGCGAACCTGGCTGACCTCTCCATGCTTGGGATCGTCTTTACGCACGCTCTTTACGCACTGGAAAACGCGGCTTCTCGGGTTTGCGCTCTTCGTTTTTCTGGACTCCTGCAGAACTTTGTGTTTCTTATATAGGCCGGTAGGGTGAGGCATTATGACACCAGATATTTGTCAAATCAGAGCCGAGGTGGGCGGATGAAGATCCTAACATGGGAGGAAAACAATCCTAATTGATTTCATGGAGTGTGTGTGTGTGTGCGTGTGTGTGTGTGTGTGGGTCAGAACTAAAAGTGGACCACTTGTGTTTCACTAATTAGACAAAAATGAATCACTGCAGCCCAACAAGTCTGGATCGTTCTTTTTTCACCAGAGTCTGGAAAACACCCACAAGCTCACATTGGCTCCATTTACCAGGAAGTGTTAATTAGCTAACAAATCAGAACAGGAAGCTTCAGAGGGCTTTAGTCTGGATGAGTGAAACAGGCTCATCAATGATCTGGTCAGAAATCTGTCTCATATCAGCTCAGAGCGTAAAGAAAACCAGCATGGATGTAAATCTTCTGGTCCTCAGAGTGCACGCACCATGAACTCCTGCCTGTGTGTAATTAGAAACCAGTCTTCAATAGAAACAGTTGACTGCTGGGTCTCCACTGTGCTGATTTAAATCCACTATAAATGTGGAGGAGCGTAAATGCAGTAGCTTACAGAAGGAACTGAACATTAAAAGCAGAAGAAAATCACAAAAATAGATATAAATGTGACATTTTGTGTTTTTAAAGCAAACACTCGTGATTTATGGGTCCGTTACAGTCCGTTGTAAAGGGGTCTGCAGCGTGGCTCCAGTTTGTCCTCCAGGACATAGTCTGGTCCACAGACCCAAGGGTCTCCTGTGTCCCACTGCCACTTCTGCAGAAGCTGTTTCAGGTCCTGCAGCACGCTGCTGTAGGACGGCTCCGACACCAGGTTCTCCGTTTCCAGTGGGTCGGACCTTTTCGTTAAAAGAAAAGATTATTAGTCATTTTCCACTTTCTTGCACACAGTGAGCCCCTTTCATGTCTCGATAACTCAAAATGTTATTACTCTTAAGCTTTGAATTGCTGTTATATTACATGAAGTGACTTTCAGGAGTTATGTGTGATTAGATCTGTGATCACATTAAGCAAAGGAAGCTCTGCCACCACTAGTGTTCATTTATAATATTAATGGATCTGTCAGGTTGTGCGTGCCTCTGAAGGCTAGGTCTGTTCTGATGATACATATTATATATGACAACAGTCCTCTGTCTTTGTTTCAGCTCATCTGCTGTTCGTTGGTGTAACTATGCGTCTGTTGCTGCTGCCTCTGGGCCAGATCCTCGTTGTAAATGAGAATGAGTTCTCAGTCCACTCATCTGGATAAATAAAGGTTCAATCACGAGGAGCCAGGTGAGGAGGCTCGGGCATCTGGTCAGGACGCCTCACTGGTGAGGTTTTCTGGTCACATCCAACTGGGAGGTGACCTAAAGGAAGACCCAGGACACGCTGGAGGGACTATGTCTTAGCTAGCCAGGGAACGCCTTGGGATTACCCCGGAAGAGCTGGCTTAAGAGGCTGGGGAGAGGGAAGTTTGGGCTTAGGCTGCTGCCCCCGCAACCCGACTCTGGATAAGCGACTTTAAACGTACTGACTGACTAACCGATAGATAGATGGATGGGTGGATGGATGGATGGATGGACGGATGGATGGACGGACGGACAGATGGACGGACGGACAGATGGATGGATGCATGGATGGAAGAATGAATCGATGGATGAATGGATGGGAGGGTGGATGGATGAATGGATGGACGGACGGACTGATGGATGGATGCATGGATGGATGGAAGAATGAATTGATTGATGGATGAATCGTTAGATGAATGGATGGGTGGATGGATGAATGGATGGATGGACGGACAGATGAACACATGGATGGACGCATGGATGGATGGATGCATGGATGGATGATGGATGGATGGATTGACGGACAGACAGATGAACACATGGATGGATGGATGGATGGATGGATGGATGGATGGACGGACGGTCAGATGAACACATGGATGGATGCATGGATGGATGGATGGACGGACAGATGAATGGATGGATGGATGGATGGATGGACGGACAGATGAATGGATGCATGACAGATGAACACATGGATGGATGAACTTGTGTAAAGTTTACACATAAATAATTTTTTATTTGCAGATTATAGCATCTTTGTAGGAGGAGAGAAATTGCCTTTGTTTGTTCTTGGTTACAACAGAATTGGCTAAACTGAAATTGTGATTTGACTTAAATAAAAGATCATTCAATTTAAACAAAATTAAATTCATGCTGTTTGGAAATTGGGAAATAAATACAACTATGACACCAACAATAAAGTTAAAGTCCCATTACTTGTCACACACACTGATGTGTGTGCAACATTTGTTCTCTGCCTGTGACCCATCCCCTGGGGGAGGGGTGAGCTGCAGACACGGCCGTGCTCGGGAACCATTTGGTGGTCTAACCCCCCAATCCAACCCCTTAATGCTGAGGGTCAAGCAGGGAGGCATTGGGTCCCATTTTTTCTAAGTCTTTGGTATGACCCGACCAGGAATCGAACCCTGATCTCCCAGTCTCAGGGCGGACACTCTATCACCAGACCACTGAGCTGGTTAGTACAAAGCGTAGGAGTGTTGGGAAAGGCAAGAAGCCTTTTGATCAGAAAACATTAAAGAGCAAGTCACCCCCTACCAGACTCCAACTCCACACCCACTTTCTGTTTGAAAAATGCAACAAATGCTGTTGCCTGGCAGACCGAGAGGGCAGAGTCGTTAACAAGTAAACACACAGGGTGTATCCGAACCCAGGGGCAGATGCTTGTGAGGTCGGGTCCTTACCGGTCCAGCTAGGTCGGATCCTTGCTCAACCACGAAGACCAGAAGCCAGCGGCTCTGAATTCAGACAGTCTAGCCTTCTCCTCTACAGTGGCCTGTAGGTCTTTTCGCAGCCATGGCGGCAGTTACAAACAAAAGAAAAATGCTAAAG